TACATGAGGGAGGGGGGTAAAAAGGGGGTAAGAAGGTATGATCAATACCAGTGTCCTAGATTTAAAATCATGATTGTTAACCATGACCAAAAGCCACCTATTATAGCTCTTAAAAGTGCCCCCCCCCCCAAACACACACACACACACATCATGAATTTAATGACCAAAAGCCACCTATTATAGCTCTTAAAAGTGCCCCCCCCCAAACACACACACACACACATCATGAATTTAATGTTATATATAGACACAAAAGTACAATACAGGGGGGAGGGGGGGTGGTCAGCCCCTTCGTACCCAGAAGCGTAGGAAGAGGTGGGATGGTCCACACCTTCGTACCCAGAAGCGTAGGAAGAGATGCGGGTGGTCCGCCCGTGGTGGCACTTTTTTTTTGGCCCTTGGTATTTTTTGGTCCACTTCACATGGCAAATTTGTGTGTTTCTTGCGTTGTGTTTTTTCGTGAATTTGGGCCAGCAAAGTCAGAGACCGAACAGGCGTCAAAAATACTAGCTACTGAACTATTCCCACCCCAAGGTCACTAAGTATTTGTGATGCCTAGACGGTTTTTGACGGTCTATGACTTTACTGGCCCTAATCGCCAGCCTCTCAGGTAACCCCACGCCACCATAACCATCAACTTTGTTGTTCATTCAAGGCATCCCAATACAAAAATTACACCCTTTCATTCTCAAAGAGCCCAACATTTCTCCCAAGATAGGAGTTGTTATTTAAGATCGGAAACGAATGCGACAGTAGTCTTGAGGAGGAAGCCCAACAAAGTCCTGCCGAAATCGGGTTTAGCCTTACGCTGTCAGTCATGGCGAATTCTAGATATGCACCTAAGTATCCCCGCCCCCAAAACCTACACATGCGCCATATAGTTTTTTTTTAAATTTATTTTAGAGGGAGAGATGTGAATATTTTGTATTGTTTGTAATTTGTAATGTAATAATGACAAACATAAGTTTTTTCAATATTCTGCACCACCTTCAAATTGTTTGACTAAGTCTTTCACGTCCTACAAAATTAATAGTAATAATGAGTTTTAAAATTGTAAAAAAAAAAAAAAAGTCAAACTTCTTATTTTCTTTATTATCTACTTTAAAAAAAAAAAAAAAAAAAAAAAAAAAAAAGCTTTATTTACTCTGAAGTCCATCACCGACTTTTTTTTTTCAATGTTGAGATTCAAAATAATATTTCAAAATACCTTTTTTCCCGCTTGGAAATTCCTTTTTTTTTTTTGGCTTGACAATTTTATATTTTGATTATAGCCTACATTTTCTTAACGTAAAATCCGGGTCGTGTTGCACGTTTTAAAGGGCCGCCTGGTGCCTTCAGTTTTAATTATTGCTTCTTCACTCCACAAAACCACGATTTTTAACCACCACTGATAGTAATTAGTAGTTTATTCAGCAATAAATTACTGCAGTTTGTAAAAAAAAAAAAAAAATTTTTAAGGAATAAATTAATAGCATATAGCAAAACCTTGGGTGAGTAGTGGTGACAGTGACCAGGCATTACGTCACAACACCCACACTTAACAGGTGAAAGGTAGCCGTTAATTTAACACCATTGATATAATCGTGATTCGTGTAAACATACAGGAACTGGAAGATGTAGGAGATTTGGTCAGTAAACGAGTTCTAAGTCTTACATGAGGGAGGGGGTCAAACAGGGGGTAAGAAGGTATGATCAATACCAGTGTCCTAGATTTAAAATCATGATTGTTAACCATGACCAAAAGCCACCTATTATAGCTCTTAAAAGTGCCCCCCCCCCCAAACACACACACACACATCATGAATTTAATGACCAAAAGCCACCTATTATAGCTCTTAAAAGTGCCCCTCCCCAAACACACACACACACACATCATGAATTTAATGTTTTATATAGACACAAAAGTACAATACAGGGGGGAGGGGGGGTGGTCAGCCCCTTCGTACCCAGAAGCGTAGGAAGAGGTGGGATGGTCCACACCTTCGTACCCAGAAGCGTAGGAAGAGATGCGGGTGGTCCGCCCGTGGTGGCACTTTTTTTTTGGCCCTTGGTATTTTTTGGTCCACTTCACATGGCAAATTTGTGTGTTTCTTGCGTTGTGTTTTTTCGTGAATTTGGGCCAGCAAAGTCAGAGACCGAACAGGCGTCAAAAATACTAGCTACTGAACTATTCCCACCCCAAGGTCACTAAGTATTTGTGATGCCTNCAAAACTAATCCAATTTTTTTGCCCCCCCCCCCCCCCCACTAGAAAGTTTTCTGCGGGCGCCCATGATTTCACCATATCACGTTCAATTGATAGTAGAGCCAGAACAGAAATCCTTGACTATCCCTTGGTGAATCGTAAATAGTTCTGCCACTCTCTTCACTTTAACCTTAATCTTCTCTCTACAAAAAGTCCATATTGGTATGATTTTAAAAGTGTCTTTTCAAAAGCATATTCCACTAAGTGATGGCGCTTCTTCGACAGAAACAATCTTAAGACCTCTAGGTTGATCACCACTTTGTCAAAAGTAAAGTCTTTAGTCTGCAGATTAACTTTCTCAAGTAGATCAGCTCAAAGGTAAAGGTAGCAGATAAACGCGAAATCAAGACAGCATTAAAAGTATGTAGGTACCGTATGACAATCGTGCTCAAATATTAAGGGGCGGTGCTAGTGACGAATCTGTGAAACTATTTTTGAGCATTTCTTGCTCTTGATATATTTGGTTTCAAAAACTGTTTTAAAAAAAATTACTAAAAGATAATAGACAATTTTGTACAATATTATTTTGTTAACTCTATAAATGGGTAAAAAGTTATGTTTTATAATAATTTTATCGATTCGACTTACTTTCTTAGAATCGCCCAACCACATCGTATTTGGTATCAACGGAAAGCTTTATTTCTCAGCATTTAGATACTTATAGCTTCCTGTCACTTACTAAAGTTACTAAGCACTTCAAACGGTGTTGAATAATGGTCAAAGTGGTGTTTTTCTGACCTAATTATAGGTTCACCTCATTTCTGACGCATCGACCTTGATTTTTTAAATAAAGTGTGCATTTTCATTTGGATTGGTTACATTTGTGGAAAATTTACTTGTGATCGGTTATCCTATTATGAAATTCGGCTAGACCAAGCAGTGTCTCCCCTGTAAAAATGCAATTGTTCAATTTGGTGTCACCCCTGAGATGGTGTCACCCGGTGTGGTCCACATCCCATAGGGTTGCCATCCGTCCCGATAAATCGGGACTGTCACCGTTAGGGACCTTATAAGTAATTATATTATTTTTTTTTGTAACTTCATATATACACCCCCGTCTCAGAGAGTCCCGACGAGGTCCCAGCTACATATGGCAATCCTATACTGAAGTAATACTGCTTTATTTCAAACGTTTATTATTTATTTGTATGCTAGCGCCCCAGTGTTTCATAAACGTTTAAATTGGTGGAACAGTTTCAAAACTGCACAAGGGCTCGTTGCCCGATTTATTCATTAATTTGTTCTTTTTAAGCAATCATAAATGACATAATGATAAATATTCATTTTGAGCGGACCGCGGCGATAATGGAAGGCTCGCGGACCGGTGCCGAAGATATCACTTTGGAAAACACCGGGCCGTTAGCCTAATGATTTATAGTTGTGTGTCATTTTCATGACTTTACAGTCTTAAATTGGAAGATATATAATTGCTGCAAGCTTTAATCTATATGACTTATTTATGCAGGGCCGTGAGGCGCCCGGGGCGAAGCTCGGAAATGCCACCAGTCTATATACCGGTACCGGGTACTGACCCTCCCCCCCAAAAAAAAAACAAAAAAAAAAAAAAAAAAAACCAAAAAACATTAATTTTTCACAGGGTATGAATTAATTTTGAAACTCAAAAGGTGAATTATAATTAATATTATTGGTAACTTTAAATAATTTAATGCAGATAAATACGCTGTCTTAAATTTAACACCCATTTAATTCAACAACGCCTCACCACAAAAAAAAAAAAAAGTGTCTGTGTGTGGTGGGGGGAAATCGGGAATAGAATATTCTTTATTAACAATACTATTATTATCACATTTTATTATATTCTATACAGAGCATTGTAGAGAACTTCTGTTCATTTTCGTCGCCTTGTTTTTAGTACTGGTACCGTAGGTAGGGCATACATGTTATAAACGTGAGGGAAAAAAAAAGAAACGCAACGTTTTGACATTGAATACTTTTTTTTAATATAATATATTACTTAAAATGCCTCAAGTGATATATTATATTCTCAAAATGAATGTTCAATTTTTTTATATCATTTTATAACCACTGCATAACCTTGCAAATGTTTAAAAAATAATAATTAAAAAAAAAATCCTTCAACCACTTTAAAAAAAAAAGGTATTTAGACTTGACTTGATTGATTTTATCCCCATTTTTCTGGACATGCGCATTTACACAACAAACTTTTCAATATGGAGGCAATACACAACGCCCTCTAGCGAATAGTTAAAAACAGTAGTTGATAGATGTGCTAAGCCAATAATAAGTCAAAGTCCAATCATTTTTTAGAATGTTTAAAAGAAATTTTATTCTTTCTCAATAAAATTTTAATTCAAAAGCTTTTAATTTGATTAAATTGGCATTATTCTCATGTAAACAGGCATTTTTTTCTTCTTAAGTTAGACTTCCGCCATCTTGAATTCTTTATCCGGACATGGTTCATGCATTGAAAGAAACAACAATTTAGAAGACGACCTACAATATTGGTCTAGACGTGAGCCACCAACTCATAGATGTTTGTGTGTATAAGGTATTTAACGCCTATTGTTATAAATAAAACGACTAAATGATAGTAGAAAGTACATAATATTGAAAGGGACTTCTACAACTAGCGTCCGTCTCCGAGCAACACAGTTGCAGAGGGCGCTTGGACGATTGATGAGGGCGCTTGAAGCAAGAATTGTTGAGGACTCCCCTAGCGGTGGCATTCACTGTTTATAGTCTATGTAGTAAAGTTATACGATCAGTTATCGTTGCAGCATGCCATTATAAAGTTCACTTTTGACACTATATATCACAGAGATGGATCCCAACCAAGTTGTTTACTTCTCACTCAAAGCCGAGTTATTTTCAAAATGGCAGCAAAAACCACCATGACCAAGTATCAATAACATGTCATTAACTTAACAAGGTTTTGGATGGGAACAATGCGGGCCATTTCAAGAAGTTTAGGGTTAGGCACCATTTCCGTAGTAAATCAATGCATGATTTAATATCCCCCCCCCCCAAATTCCCACATCTCACTTTTCTTTTTTTTACATAGTCATAGTGTAGGCATAGTCATAGTCATAGTATATGAATATGCCTCCAACTATTAATAAGATTACTGCATTGATAAGGCTTTGTTACTGCTGTATACTATATATAATTATACGACTATTTGAATTAATTTTAGGCATGCATTTACATCATTTTATTCACAATACTATACCAGTAGACCAGGTGGGGGCTGGTGAGCCTGGTGTCACACTGACCTATTCTAAGCTTTACAGGGTTAAAAATAAATTTAAAAACACACTAACTGTATAGTATCATGACACATGAAAAATTTCATATTTGGGTGCAATTTTTTAAATTCAAATCCAAAAGCAGGGTTGTAGAGCAGAATTTTTTTAACCAAGCTCTGCTGGATCAAATCAATTTTTTTTTATATCAAATATTAGTTTTGCACAGATAAATAAATCTGCTTATAATTGGTATTAAGTCTAGCTGGTCTTTTTGTCAGTTCATTGATAATCTGTCCATTATGGCTGGTAGAAGAGTGAAGGCAACTTAGCTGGTAGAAGTGAGTGGCGATATAGCTCGTAGAAGAGTGGGGCAACAATTATAATAAATTAATTTTAAAAAGTAAAATTATATTTATTTTTTGTGACATTAATTTTTAAATGTTTTTGGAACAGTAAATAGACATTTTACCAGCCCTTGCTCTGCTTCAGACAAAAAGACACTGTTCCAGAGCTCCAATCCACATCCCTGCCCAAAAGCTATATCACCTTCTCATTTTAAAAGTTCCAATCATTGGTTATTTCAGCTTCTTCTTCTTCTTTTTATTCAGTAAATGAAAAGTTCATAAACCAGTTGAAAGAAATGGATTCCTAATCCAATCATAGCCTTTGATTTTAACCGTTAGGAATTAAGGATCTAAGGATGGACTTTCTCTTGAAGTTGAAGCAGTGTCAGATAATCAACAATTAGCAAGCCATTATCACATTTAAGCTTGATTTAAGGTGTTTTGAAATACTTTTCAAAATTTTATTCTTTTTATTTCCATACAACTATCTTGTCTTCCAATCTCATAGCACAAATTTGCTTTACTGTTGTTGTTTTGTATTATTTTTATTTTATTAGAATATTCAATTACATCAGCAAGATCAAGAAATTACAATTTTGTTCACAAAGTCAAAGCTCTTTTGTTTCAATTGGATAAAAAAATTCATTTTGCTTATTTTTCTTAAAAAAGACACAATTTATTGCAAATTTTAGAGATGCTTTGAAAATTGAAATCTTAAACTTTTTGAATATTTAGGTAGCACACTTAATCTTAAATAAACATGAGAGCTTAAAGAAGAGAAACTAATATTAATTATTATCCATCAATTATTGTCTTTAATAATTTTTTTTAGCAATGAATCCATAATATTTTTAAAAAGCAATAAATATATATACAGTTATTCCTCGCTATTTTGCGCTTCACATTTCACATCCTCATTTCTTTGCTGGTTTTCTCCTAGGATACATTCTGCCTATTTTTCACTATTTCACATATTTATATAGGTCTGTTATTTTAATTATATTTGCGGTAAAATAATTATTTTCTTAAGTTTATTTTAGAGAGTATAGTACCATACTGTAAAGTGTTTACGAGCATAGGAAGTGTTTACAAGCATAGGAAGTGTTTACAAGGGTGTTCGATAAATTAATAATAAGATTGTTTGGAAGGTTTATAAAAGTGTGTGCGGGGATTATTAAGTTTAAAAAAATATATAAATCCTACTTCTCATTATTTTGCAGGATTGGTGGGGGGGGTTAATGGAATGTAACCCCTGCGATGTTCGAGGTATTACTGTAAACTTAAATCTTGTCTAACATCCAAAATCTGTTATTGAAGACATAAACCCTTAGCTTTACTTTTTCCAGGTTCAGACTTCTTAAGCCCTATTTCCAATTAAAATGGACCCAGAAGATGAATCAGGGTCAGCAGGCCAAGGTCAAAATCTGCATGATCTTCAGAACTATTTGTCCACTTTCAACAAAGAGATAGATCCTGGGGATGATGTCCTGGCTCACATGGATGTGGACTCGGGAGTTGGGGATCTCTATAAATATAACCCAAGTTCAGGAAATCCTCTTCAAGAGCCAGGAGAAGGAGGAGTGGCTTCGCAATTTTCTTCTGGGTTTTATTCTGAGCAAGGTACATTTTAATTTTTTATAAAATGCATTTTATTTATAGTTAAAAGTGTTGTTATTTAAATTTTTGCATCTTGCAATTTTTAAAATAAATTCAAATGAAATGGAAAGCCCTAAAATTAGATAGTTGTTAATCCTTTCATTACTGCTGGTTTTGGGCATCGATTTTTGATGACTCAGCAATTAAAAATAAATAAATATTTTTTTTCGGTTTATTTCATTCTCTATCAGATTCGCTTTTTAACTTCTCTATAGATTAACGAATAAAGAAATATAAAGCATTGAAATATGACGCCGACGTGACATCCTTGGTATTTCAGAAAAGTTCTTTGCCTTTTTGTTATGACGAAAATCTGAGATCCTTGGTAATTGAAAGTGGGTGATCGTGACATCTCGTTTGACGTCATCGGTAGCGAAGTGGTTAATAACAGCTGAGAAAGACAGAAAGTCTTGAAAGATAAATACTAAGTTTTGGCAGTACAATAAGCCATGGCTAATATTTTCCAAGTTATATTTCACAGGACAGTAATTTCCCACGTAAAAAAAATACAGCAATAGTCCTCTACCATAGCAAATGTGAATCATCTATCTGTAATTACTTAAAGCAAGTATGAAAAAAGATTTAAAAAATAAATAAAATAAGAAAAGTTTGTTTAAAAAAGACATAGTAATTTCTTCTTATATTTGAGGGGCCCACGATCAATTTTTTTATCATTCTGGCTCCTGGTTTTAATTCAGAGTTTACCTTCTCTTAGATGTGTTGCACCCGGGGTGCTTGGGATGTTGGCTTTGGTGGGGATTGAACTTCAGACCACCAGCTATTTGGTTTGAGACAGTTTAGACCGCTCGGCCACCCAGCGATGTAATATATGTTATCGATAGATTGTTAAAGTTATAAAATTTATCCCTTGCACAATGCAGCAAATCTATAATATTTATGGCAATGATTTTTATACCTTTTTGGTCATATTGTGACAGTAATCTATTGCCAAGCCAGGCGCAGTGTAATCACGGGAGCGGATGACATGGTGTCAGATGCTAGTCGTTGTCCAGGCAACGCCAGTTTTTTTTTCCAATGTCTTATGTTCCTTTGTTACAAAGTTCGTAATGATATGTTCATAACATGCTAAAATATTCACATTTTCTTGGGTCTGGTGTTGTTAGATTCACACAAGAGCAAAAAATGCATATATTTGTTATTTTTCAGGAATATTAGATACAACACTTACAGATGATGCTGGTCAGCAAATTCAGGGTTTGGTCTCATCAGCAGACTCAGATATGTCAGCAGCAATCAAGCAAGAAGTTGGCACTTTGGACCTTGAGTCTGTTGGAGGTCATATTAACGAGGATGCCACGTTAACTCAAGAAATTATTGACATGCAATCCAATGCAATTACTGGGGTGTGTATTGTTTCACAGACTATATCTTGTTATTGTAATTATGTTAATGACATACAATGTTGCTATATCAATTTTTTTTTTAAAAATCAAAAGTGCAAGGGGAAATTGCTTAAAAGGAAATATTACAAAAAAGCTAAATAAGCATTTTTTTTTTTTTTACAATAAAAGTAAAGCAATTTTACCTGGAATAAGTGGATTTGAAGAAAACTATTTTAATGGGCACTGTGGAATTGCTCCTTTTAAAATATTCAGATTTGGCACTTATTTTAATTATTTTGATTTTTTATAGAGTCTCATTATGACCTCCCTGGGAGATAACCTGGATCCAAGTGGAGGGAAGGTGATAAGGATAGTATCTCTTGATGAGGAAGGTCATTACTTATCACTCAGTGATGGCTCTCAGATGCAGATATTGAATCAAGATTTGGGAATTTCCAGTGACAACTTAACATCTTCAGATAGTGTTTTGGCAATGCAAGGGGTAAAATATCTTAAGTGCCTTAAGATAACATGCCCACAAACATTTTAACATTAAATATGTAATTACATTTCACAATAAATTTAAAATTAGTTCAGAAATTTTTTATCTGAACATTAAAATGACTAGCTTTTACCAATTTATGTTTGTTTTTTCTTGAAAATTTTAGAGATTGTGAAAACTCTGAGACGTAAGATATGTTTGACAATCTCAGATGCATATATTCCACAATTATTGAGGTTTTAAATGTTTTGTTTTGCTAAAGTCTGATGCAGTATCAGTAAGTTCAGGAGCTACCCTTCCTACATCAATTCTATCATTCCATGGTGGAACTGGCATGATGATGACTGGAGGGGGTAACACCATCACCACCATTGCAAACAATGGGGGCAGCAACAACATTTCTGAAAATGCACACCTGGTAACACTGCAGAGTACTGCTGACAACCCTCAGCCCCACCTAGTAGCATTACCACAAGGGGCAACTATCAGCACAGAAGCACTACAGGTAAGTGTTGTCTACCCTGACTTTGCCATGAAAATAAAGTAGGTCATTAGGTTAACACTGTTGAACAATGTAATTTATACTGTAAACTTCATTTAAAACCGTTTCAAAATTAATTTTTGCTAAATTTGATAGTGAGATATAAATTTTTCTAAGGAATGAAGGTGGCGCAGAAGCAGATGTGTGTGAACCATTGTTTAAATTTTTTAAAAGCTATTATAATGTATTTTCATTGTTTTAAAAAATGTGGTTGGAATGTTAGGGTGTCAGAAATATATAACATTGCACTGGATGGGTGTCTTAATTTTTTGTGGTAACATGATTAGAGGTGTGAGTAGCTGCCAAAATGGTGTGGCTACTTTCGTGTTCAACCTAATAGCTCTAATTTTAAGTTTTTGAATTTCTATTAATTTCCATTGATACCCACATTTTTACTACGGTACATCCTTGAAATACTTTACCATACAGAAGTCAGGCCTTCTTGGACCTGATGGCAGTATTAATTCAGAGCTTGGGTTCCAGACCATCACCATCATGCCGTCAGATTTAAACCAAAGCGGTGACATGAACTATGTCTTTATCATGGCTCCAACGGATGGCTCCAAGGATGGGACTCAGCAGTTGGCTCAAGTCTTAGATCTGAAGGTGGGAATGTTGGGTATTTGTTTGAAAGAATTTTGTTTGCAACTAAATAATAGGGAACAAAATCTAAAAAGATACATTTTATTAAAAAGTTTCCATTTTCCCATTTGTTGTTATAATAAATTATCAAGGGTAATGGTGTTTCTGTGTTGATTATGACGATAGCTATTGCTTTATTTTATGCATGTCAATTTAAAATTTGCTTATTTTAAGAATTGAAATAAAGTGATTTAAACCATTCAGTATTCAGACATCTTCAACTTTTATTATTATTTTAGAATCATACATAGAATCATTCTTTTTAGCCTACTAAAATATTTCTGTCAAAAAATATAAATAAATCACAATTACATTATCTTAAAATTCAGCATTAGCGTGAAATTGATTTAGGGTTTAACCCTTTCTTTTTTTTTTTTCAGCAAGAAAACCAAGAATACTCAGAAGAATTAATGGAGATCAATGGAGAGGTGAAACGAGTTTTAAGAGTAGTCCCGAAGAAGTGTTTACCTGCAAACTTTGGGACTCAGCTCATGTGCGACTATTGTGACTACACCAGTCCCAAGCGCTACCTACTCACAAGGCATATGAAATCTCACTCTGATGAGCGGCCTCACAAATGTAAAGAGTGTGATAGAGGTTTCAAGACACCTGCATCATTGATGAATCATGTAAACACACATACAGGAATTAGGCCTCACAAATGCAAAGTAAGTAGGTACATGCATGAATTAAGGTTCACAAATCCAAAGTAAGTGGATAGCAGTAAATTACAATTTTTAACTATTGTAATGTCTGAAGAATAAGCCAAATTACAACTGGCTGGTACATATTTTAGGTATTTTGACTGTTTATTAATATTTTAAACACTACATTGTACTATTTCATTTAAAATTATTTTTTATAAATATATATTCTTTTAAACGTAATTTGGTGTCTTGTTAACATTTAAAATATTCTAGCACCAAATTTTGGGTAGTAGATGTTGAAAAGAAATTATTTATAAAAAAAAATCTCTTTGAAAATCTTAGACTTGTGAGGCAGCATTTACTACCTCCGGAGAACTGGTGCGCCATATTCGATATCGTCACACATTTGAGAAACCACATCGCTGTCCCAACTGTGATTATGCCAGTGTGGAACTCTCTAAACTAAAAAGACACATGAGATCACATACAGGGGAACGGCCATACAAGGTGAGTTAAGATTTCTTTATAAAAATTAATGAAATTTTAATGAATTTGTCTGTCTCCTCTAATCCATAAAGTGGAAATTCTTCAGCATTTCGAAAAAAATAAACCACTTCCTCTTCTTATTAATATAGTAATATTTCATTCAAAATAATTGTTTTGTTTTTTCCTCCATTCAAAGTGATATTGAAATAAATTACAAATGTTACTAATGTTTTCAGTGCCCTCATTGCCCTTATGCCAGCCCTGACACTTACAAACTGAAACGTCACCTTCGAATCCACACGGGTGAGAAACCCTACGAGTGTGACATCTGTCACACCCGCTTCACACAAAGCAACAGTCTTAAAGCTCATAAACTGATTCATTCAGGCAACAAACCAGTCTTTCAATGCAATCTTTGCCCCACCACTTGTGGCCGCAAGACAGATCTGAAAATACACTTCAACAAACTCCACTCGGTCGGATCACCACTTGAGTGTAAGAAATGTGGTGAAGTTTTCTCAGATAGGTGAGTATTGAAATTAGTTACAAATGGAATTTGGCTTTATAGGGTATTAATTTCAATGCCTAGTGCAATCCATCATCTTATGTGAACACTGCTTGTTTATGTTTTGTTGACCAATTGGCATGCCCAGTCTTTTTTGTCTGACTGATAGAAATCCAAGTTACCAACCTCTTATTTTTCATTTATAACTTAATTTATCACTACACTTTGAACTCTTTATATTACCCCCCAAAAATATTCCCAGCCTAATTCATAATGGCTGTCATGATGAAGTAAAAGCAGTGCAGTAGCAGTTTGTAAATTTCCACATACTTGCTTCAGTATATTGTCAGCATATATATGTTAACGGATTGTGTACCAATAAAATTTATAAGAATTTATAAGACTATTTTTTTGTGGCATTTAAAAATCTGATTCATATGTTAAATTTCAGGTACTCATACAAGCAACATGTCCGTGGTCATGACATTGACAAGTGCTATAAATGTGAAGACTGTGACTTCATCGCTAACACAGAGCGTAGCTTTGACGCCCATGCTGCCATTCACTCAAATGGCAAGAAGTTTGAATGCGACACATGCCACACGTCCTTCAACTTGGAGCAAACTTTGCTCAAACACCAAAAGTTTTGTCAGATGGGAGAAGACTCTGAGTGTGAATCCTCAAGAGATAAAGAGGTAATTTGATGGCATATCACATAATAAATGGTCATGTGAGATCAGTAATTTGTAAATGTGAAAATAATTCATGACAAGGTCAAGTATTTGCACCAGAGACCAGCGCATGAGCTATTCAAATAAATTAGGTATTTTAATTTTTAAAAAGTGTAATAGAATACATTTTATGCACCTACACACTACATTTTATGCACCTACACACTACATTTTATGCACCTACACACTACATTTTATGCACCTACACACTACATTTTATGCACCTACACACTACATTTTATGCACCTACCTAATAAACTGCACCAAACAAAGGAAATAAAATAATTATGTTTACTTAATTAAAATTGATCCATGATTTTAACTTAGTAGACTGAGATGGACCTCACACATGTTTCATAATTTTTACTTGGTTATAATGATAAATCTGTGTGTGACAGTGACATCTCAAGGCACTGAACTAGTCTAGAAAACTCAGTCACATCCCAAGGCACTAAAATAGTCTAGAAAACACAGTCACATCTCAAGGCACTAAAATAGTCTAGAAAACACAGTCACATCTCAAGGCACTAAAATAGTCTAGAAAACTCAGTCACATCTCAAGGCACTAAAATAGTCTAGAAAACTCAGTCACATCTCAAGGCACTGAACTAGTCTAGAAAACTCAGTCACATCCCAAGGCACTAAAATAGTCTAGAAAACTCAGTCACATCCCAAGGCACTAAAATAGTCTAGAAAACACAGTCACATCTCAAGGCACTAAAATAGTCTAGAAAACTCAGTCACATCCCAAGGCACTAAAATAGTCTAGAAAACACAGTCACATCTCAAGGCACTAAAATAGTCTAGAAAACACAGTCACATCTCAAGGCACTAAAATAGTCTAGAAAACTCAGTCACATCTCAAGGCACTAAAATAGTCTAGAAAACTCAGTCACATCTCAAGGCACTGAACTAGTCTAGAAAACTCAGTCACATCCCAAGGCACTAAAATAGTCTAGAAAACTCAGTCACATCCCAAGGCACTAAAATAGTCTAGAAAACACAGTCACATCTCAAGGCACTAAAATAGTCTAGAAAACTCAGTCACATGTAAAGGCACTAAAATAGTCTAGCAAACTCAGTCACATGTCAAGGCACTAAAATAGTCTAGAAAACTTAGTCACATCTCAAAGCACTAAAATTGTCCAGAAAACTAAGTAAAACTCATATTTACTATGCAGAGTGATGACCAGAGTGTTGATAAGACTCCAGTATACAAGAGCACACTAGGGAGACCATCCCAGCAGAGCAAAGCGGATGCCCTGCTGAAAGCTGAAAGTAGTCACAGCTCTCTGTCTGGACACTTGGTGGCCGGTGGTCCTCTGACCTCAGACACACTCCACAGGAACCTGCTGCAGGACATCAAGGCAGGGAAATTGGGGGATGTTCCACAGGTGGTCATTGTCCATCCAGATGGGTCATTTGAAGAGATCTCATCAAAGATTCCAATGGTATGTGAATTTTGGTATTGCTTTTGTTATCATGGGTTTTAAAAATATCCAATTGAGGAAGAATTCAATTTAAACAACAGATTAACGTAAGCAAAAAATAAAATAATTTCCGCCCATTAAAGTGTGCTTGTGGATCCCTTATATTATTTAAATCTTGTAGAGCTTTTGTAGTGCATAGTTTTCTTGGCAATTTTAAAATGTTCTTTGAATCATTTTCAATGAAAAGATCTCAGACTGCTTTAAACTCACCTTTATCATATAACCTGTGAGTGACAAACCCTTATGGGTAACCCCTTCCCCCTCCTCCCAAAAGTCATATTCAGTTATGATTTAACTTCTACACAACAATACATTTTCTTGTTTAATTCAAGGGAGACAAGTTGAACATAGAGGACATATTTTCAGCACTTTCCAATAATGATAAAATTGTTGGACTTGATACAGCAGGGGAAAGTAACTCAAGGACAGCGAGCAGTGATGGAGCCGCAAGCCTGGGTGATAAAAGGAAGGATTCTGGAAAGCTTAGTAACTGTGACGATGATAACTTATCAGATGAAGATGATAATGACGAAAATGAAAATGAAGATGATCTCGGGGAAACCATGCAGGTTAGTTTAGCTTCTTTTTATGGATTTTTAATTTTTTAAAATTTCTGCAGTGCTGTCTAGACTTTTAAGACTTCTTGTTTCAGGGCTGTAGGTAAAGCTATTTAGTCAACTTGATTTAGACCATCCTTTGTAAAAAGTGCAGTAAATTATTTGTAGGAGAGACAGGTCGTTGCCTTGGAGACCGTTTTAGAGAACACCTCTATAACATAAATAAACAAGCCATTTGTCCAGTTTCCTAAAATTTCAATAGCACTAACCATGATGGAATTTCAGACATAGCAGTTACTGGTATATTGTACGCAAATTATACACCGGATAGGATTTATATGGAAAATAAAATAATAACAAGATTGGGTACTTTGACTCCAAATAGTATAAACTAAAACCACAATTTTACGTAGCTGCCATGTCTTTTTCCTGTTTGGTTTTTAAATTATACTTAAACACACTTCCTTTCCGCTCTTCTTAACTTTGTTTTTGTCTGGATTTGCGCCCACTCTTATTCTTTTCTATTTTTTAGGTAGGATACATGTAAACATATATTATGTAAATTAATTAATACTCATTTACATTTTTTTTTTTTTTTTTTTTTTTTTTTCTTTTAAAGGCTTTTGCCGAAACTTTTACTTTTTTTTTTTTTTTTTTTTTTTTTTTTTTTTTTTTTTTTTTAATTTATTTATTCTCTTTTTTTTTTTTTTTTTTTTTTTTTTTTTTTACTGATGAAGGCATTTGCCGAAACGTTTACATTTTTATTTTTTGAAATCATCATTAAAGCTTAACATACATTGTTTTATTTACACAAATTGTGTCTAATTAATTTAGGACTGGAAAGCAAATATCGTTAAAGCCTTTAAACAGATGGGGTAGCTTCATAAACTAACTATAATTAGCAATAGCACCACCTCACCTCTTCTTGATTCATCCTGCCTGTGATTGCAGTACAGTAATAAGATGCTAATAAATTATTGTTGTTGTCTTACATGCACTGTGTACCAGGGGGCTGGCATCTTATGGCCTGCTGAAAAGTTTAATGTGGCCCTGAAGACCTTCCGGGAATCAGATTAAAGTTTTCATAAAATGTTCAAATTGTGAATGATAATCCGTAAAAGCGTTTTATTAAAAATAAATAATCACATTGCTGTAATTTTTCTAACTGTGGTAGCAATAACAGAAAATTAAAAAAATTATTCTACTGCTTATTTTCAAACTGAAATCAGGGAGAATTTTCAAAGCCCCTCTTTATTTATCATATTGCCCAGCAAAATGTAACAATTTCTGCAAGGAAAGGTTATCCACTCTATCTGTTATACTAATGTAATAGTTTGTTTTTATTTATACCACAAACCAAGCTCATCTAATACTTTGTTGTAACTTCATTCATAACAAATAGATAAACTTCACATAAGCTTTAATGTGTTAACCTATTTTTGATTCCTCTACTCCATATTGCCAGTGTGAAGCCAGTACACAAGCTGAGCTGGAGTCTGATACAGACACTGATTCCATGGAAGGCGGTCAGATGGTAGAACCAATATCTCCTAAAGAGACCAGGAATGTAAGTTTCAGTGTTGAAAGGTCAGCATGCACATAATAAGAAAAAGATTCAGTTTGGATAATGGTTTTATGGAGAGGCAATCTGTGAAAGTAAGAATATTATATTTCAATTTTGAGGTTTCCAGAAGCCCATTTTAAGCGGGTGAATGTTGTACGCTAGTAGAATTGTCTAAAGTCACACTGCTGGAAATTGCCTATTAAATTTGAACTTTTACGTTTAAAGAATAGTTTTATTGGCATTTTTGGGCTCATATTTTATGTATTTGTTTGAAGATATCTGTGGGATAGTCAGGGTTTGTATCTTACTTTATTCCAGGCACTGCCCAATGGCTCACCAGATGGGTCTGTGTTAGACCAATCTGAAATATCGGACTCAAACTCAGCTCCTCTCTCAGAGGCTGCCTCAGAAGCTGTGCCGTCTCTTCTCCATGTCATCACCACATCCACCTCCCCATCATCACTGCTTACAACCACGTCAGATCAAAACACTGTCGTCAATCCACAGTATGTGGTTGTGAAGGGCTACACCTGCCTCAGCAGTGACGCTGGGGGGCAGCCGACATTGGTCAATGTAGCCGTGGACAGGGATTCTTTGATGAAAATGTTTGCCTCTTTGGGTAGCAACCTGGAAGGGGGGATGCAGCTGCTTGCAGGAGACTTGGACTCCATGAGCCTGCCCATGGAAGGTTCTCAAGCTAGTGTCATAACAATGACACAGGAACACCTCAATGAGTTTTCAGGGGTGACCTCCCATGGTGATGGAACCGCCATGGATCATCAGCTGGACTCGGACGCTCCAGAAATTCAAGACACTTCTAAAACAAGTGGGAATGAGATAAGTTTTGATGGCAGATTAAAAGACGATGTTTTGATATTGAGTGACCACTCAAAATCATCTCCACATCCACTCTCCGATGATGCCCTGAGCATGGGAGAATCACAACATAACATGGACAACAGCCTTCCAAAGCTTCTGCTGTCCACACATTTTACCTCTCAACCAACGAAATCATCAGTTCCATCTCAGCCTGACTCTGCCAAAGACAGTTCACTCGTTGAAAAATTCCCTTCAGAACAGAACATTGACGTGACAAGCACGTTAACCAATTCCATCGTCCACATTGCTTCATCCGAATCTTTCTCATACAGTGTAAATGAAGATGCCGGCGACTCAAGCCTGGAGATATTTCAGAGTTCTGAGAAGGCACTGGCCACCCAAGAATCCCCTACTCCCTCCCTGTTGAGCATCAACACAAAAAGGAAGCCCACCGGCCCAGGGGCTCTGCTCTCACATTATATGAAAGATATTAAATCTGAGATGAGTGATGACAAAGATGAGGATTCACTGCGCATGAATGACTTGAGTGCGGAGGATGATATCATCAAAAAGAATAGCTCATCTTTAGACAAACAGAAAAGGTGAGTGTTAATGGCGTTATTGCTTTACTTCATTTTAATAACATTCAATTGAAATGATAATTTACTCAAAGTTCAAACCTACTCTTAATGTTAAATTTCAGAAAATTAATTTATTACTGTAAACGTCGCTGTCTCCAATGAGATCAGAAATATATGTGCACATTGTGTTTGGATGAAACTATATAAGAATTTACAACTGAGAATGGCTTGTTGATTGGTGCACTAAGTAAAATAATCCAAAATAAAGGGTGTGATACTTCAAAATTTCTGGAAAAAAACAAAACAAGAAAGACCAATCTCCAGGGAAGTTTGCAGGTTTTCTCCTAACTGTTACAAGCCAATCCGTAGTTGGGGAGCTCATAACCTATACTGGCTTGTCAGGATGAAATATTAATGTTTCTTTATTCATTAATGAAGTCATCAACAACAAACCACAAGTCTTAAAGGTGTTACTGAGTTACAAAATGAAGCAAATGTCCTGGAACCATGTAATGCTGCTAAATAAATACAAATCAGTTTGCACAGAATCACATTCATTTTTTGTATGGATTCTTGCACTGCTCATCTGGGTGGATTTTCAGTGTTCATTAGCACCCTGTCATCATCATTTACAACTATTGAGATTTGAACTGTTGATTTAACTTTGTAGTCTTTAGCAAGGATGTTAACATTGATGTTTTCTTTGGCAAACTCTTCGTCCTTCGCATGCGAGGATATCCAAGACTATATGCAATGTTTACGCAGGTGGCTTGCCATTCAGCCCTATTTGTGCCAGGAAAGCTATCCCACACACAAGGCACATGTGGTTTTTGGTCCTAGATGGATTTGAGCTGATTCTGCTTTTCCTTTACTGTGTGTTTGCTTTGGGTGTGTGCGGTGCGTTTATTCTCTGAGAATTGTGCTCCATAGCAAGTGTTTCTCACAAATTAAGGTCTTTATTCTTTGAGGATTGTGCTCCATTAGCAAGTGTTTCTTACAAATAAAGGTCTTTATTCTTTGAGGATTGTGCTCCATAGCAAGTGTTTCTCACAAATCAAGGTCGATGTCAATGGATTTGAGTGAAGCTTTTAGAATTCCATTAAGCATTTTTTCAGCCCACCAGCTGAGCGTTTCCCTCTGGAGAGCTTAACAAACATTAGTTGTTTAGGCAGTCTGCATTCTCGCAGCAGGCCCTACCCAGCTGGCTTGTCTTTTTTTAGGGGCGTGTGGATGCTGATAAAGTCAGCCCGTTGTAGGACTTGAAAATTTAAAAATTTGATTATTATTTAAAATCCTTAGAAATGTAGGCAAGTTTAAAGCTTTGAAGAAACAAAATGTACATTGATTCCATCCTCCAGCATGGCGACCAACAACATTTATAAACAAACTTGTCATGTTTGGTCAAATTCTTGAAGTGTTTCAGTTTACAATTTCTATTCTATTAATTCTATAGTAGTGTATATTTCAGCAGAACTAGAAATAGCCAATGGAAGGAATTATACGCACTGAATGGAATACTCAATCCATATTATAATGTATAATAATTCCTTCTGTTCACTGCTATTATTCTGCTGAAATATGAGCACAAACTAAAAATGATAACAGTTGTGTTGTGAATGTAAAAGACCAGTCAATGAATTAACCATTCTGAATATCTCCAGGTACAACAGAAAACGTCCCACTGCAGCAGACCCATCATTGGTAATGACAGGCAAACGTGTAAGAAAGGCACTTGTGAAAGTCAGCATGTAGATGACCAACTGACTGACAGGCAAACGTGTGAGAAAGGCACTTGTCAAAGTCAGTATGTGGATGACGAACTGGTCAATAATTCTAGATGTTTCTGGTCCAGAATTTGAGAAATGAGATAACACTTGATAGACTCCGTGCAGGTTTATGTTTGTAAAAAAAACACAAGCAATTTCTCATCTTATTTCTTGAACACAGACCTTGGAAAGATCACTATACCGGCCGGTACTATTGTAAAGTAAAAAAGCTGAGCCACTGTGAAATTGTTACACTTGTTTCATTGTAAGTAGAAGATATCTTGTTATTGCAGTTGTCTTATGGGGACATCTTATTTGCTTTTTTTCTTCAGAATTTCTGTTATTTATAGGCATTTACATCATAAAACCACAGTCCTTAAATGGGGAGCAATGCTAAAACTACTGACTTCCAAGGCTTTCAACTAACTGATGGTAAAATAGGATGGTCAGAAATGTGTGCACTAATTTGGACCAAACTTAATTCAAGGCATTAAAAATAATTTTAAAAAATAAAACCAACTCTTTGTTAATTGTAGCACTTGAACAAACATGTCTTTCATGGCTTTGTCATTTGTGGCATAGAAATGTCTAGAAATTTCAGTAAAGCTTTTGGGTGTCAAGTATGTGGGACACGGGCAACTTCCCTCCCTTTCTTTTGAGCTCTTTTTCATTGAAGGAAGCTACAGAGTAACAGAGGAGAATACATTGTTTTTCTTTTTCAAAGACACTTGATATTAAAAACGATTGTCTCCCCTTCACTCTCTTTCTCTCCTCTCTCCCCCCCCCCCCCTATTTATACACAAAATGACATGATAGTGATACTACAGTAGTTGTGGAGATAATTTTAGATAGGCCCCAGCTGGTCAAGAGACTTGTTGACATATGAAAACTAACCCAGTCTCATTAAATGTCCATTGATAGTCGAAATATTCTAGGGCTGTTGTTGTCAAACCTTTTTTTAAAAAAATATCACTAAAACCCAATGAATATTTCTCATCTAAACTTGCCATCAACAGAGCTAAGAAACACATCTAGAGTTTGAACAAGGCGCAGCTTCCTAGCATATTTATTATTATAAAGTAGGTGGGCTATATTGTGGGCATTATCTTTGATTTACCTAACAAATTTTTTGGTAAAATGGCCAAAAAAAAAATATTTTGAAGATTTTTATACCAACTGAGACCCTGGGGCGAACCTTCCATGACACACCAATGTGTCCTGACACACAGAAGTGTCGTGACACGTTGTTGAAAACAGTTTTTCTAGGGGTGTGGATCGATTCTCTCATTCAGTTATTGTATGAGCCTGTGCAATGAACAAAGAAAAATGTTGCTTATATTTTGTAGTCTTATTTCCACTTTCATAAATATGTTGTATTTATTGCATCATGTCTTTTTGATATTCTTGTATGCTGTTGATATTTATGATGTAAATTCTCTTGAGGAAAGAGGATGAATAAATTAATTTATGAAAATTTTCAGATTCCTTTTTATTCTTTAAAATGGGTAGTCTGTGCTGTCACACATTGCTTGAAGTCTGGGCCGTCACACATTGCAAAGGTCTGTGCCGTCACACATTGATTAAGGTCTGTGCTGTCACATATGGCTCAAGGTCTGTGCTGTCTCAAATGGCTTAAGGTCTGTGCTGTCACATTGCTTACTTAAAGCATTTTTTAGTGTCTATTCGTAAAAACTGAATCACATTTCTAATGGTGTGTTGAAAAAAAAAGTTAAGTTGAAGTATTGATACAATCTGCTAAGATCAGCTTTCTTGCCCAGTTTAACATTTATTTGAGCCTACTGAACTACGTCAAAAAACTCTTTCAGAGCTTCAGTTCTCACTGTATTTACGCAAAAATAACTAAAGGTTTTTGAATACAATTTGCTCCAGTTCTAGTCTTGTCAAGTCAACAACACCATGGTGAAGGTCCAAATCTATTCTTATTAATTTGACAACACTGCGGTGAAGGTCCACATCTATTCTTATTAAGTCGAGAACACCACGGTGAAGGATGTCAGTTATGATGTTTACATCGTTGTAAGTTGTTGCACTGTTGCCAGCCGGTGATGGTAAATTTAAGGATGGTGTAAAAATACAATTAAGAAATAGAGAAATCTTTTGAAGCGAAACCAAACTTTAAACACTACCATCATACCTTGAGTTTGAGATTGCTTCTGATTTGTTTATTGAATTAAATTATAAAGAAAACTGTAGAATGTTTAAATGAACTAGTGATTTGTTACTAATTAGCCTACACAGTTAACACAGAGTACAATTTTAAGGAAAAAATAAAATAGAATACACGCTAACTCATAATTTAGGTTGTTTATAAGCCTAACTAATTCTCATTTTAATATTTATTGAATTGGAAACTCTCCATTCATGTTCAAAAATGATATTTGTGTATTTATAAAATCTTCATTAAAAATGGCGAAATCTGAGATTAACTCAGGAAATGGAGAGGCGGGGCAGCCAAGGACGACAATCTTCGATTAATTTCAACGTGTACGAGTCGTCGCTTCCTTTGTCATCCCTCATTCTGTGTGTGCTCATTTCAATTGAGACGCTACTATCTAAAATAGGTAGGATTCTTAATTTTAGACTTTCCCCATATGAGATCATCTTTTGAAAAGAAACCAAGCCAACAACGACAAAAGTATTTCATGTTTGCCACCAGAATTGAGTAAAAAAAAACAAGAAAAGTAAAAACTGAAAAGAAGTAGGCTGTTTGTGGATCAATTGCGTACAACAGATTTATGACTGGAAAAATCGATTGTGGATTGAAGGATGGAGGGAGTAAAGGTTTGGGTATTATATGAAGTGCCGTGAGAAAGGGGTGGGTCGGGAATGGGGCTCTTGCTCCAGCGCCAACATGCGGGTAGGGGTAGCTGCAGGGGGGGGGGGATGGTGACCAAAATAACTTTTAAAAATTGTCTTTTGATAGGACTTGAGCAATAATGAATAGCAATAATAGTGAATTAAACCAAAAATTCTCATGTACTTAATAAAATCAAGGGGCGCAGAAATCATATTTTTAAAAACTGCATTATCCCGGGCGGCACTTTTGTCTATATATTGAGCGTGTATCAATGGGTGGATAGAATAAAAGTTGTTATATTCATCTTTGTTGGGACTACCAGCGATATAAGATGGTTCATCTATTGTTGGTACTACCAGCGATATGAGTTGGGTCATCTATTCTTGGCACTACCAGCGATATAAGATGGGTCATCTGTTGTTGGCACTACCAGCGATATGAGATGGGTCATCTATTCTTGGCACTACCAGCGATTCTGAGTGTGGTCATCTATTGTTGGCACTACCAGCGATATGAGCTGGGTCATCTATTCTTGGCACTACCAGCGATTCTGAGTGTGGTCATCTATTGATGGCACTACCAGCGATATAAGATGGGTCATCTATTGTTTGCACTACCAGCGATATGAGCTGGGTGAAATGTTAATTTTTTTGACACGGTACAGATCTTTATTTTGTGATTGGTTTCTCTTAAAACATAAATAAATGAATACATTAATTCTCTTAAATTAAGTTTTTTTTTCTCGTCTGAAAGTGTTATAAATGTTTTTTTTTTTAATAGCGAAAAAAATTGGTAAAATTTGACGAGAAGGACCATGATTTAGTACCCATATATAGTATCATCTTTGTTGCCAAGATAGCAGACATAAGAAAATGTGATACACAACACGGGGTAAAATAAGGAATTAAATTTAAAAGAATGGTTAAAGTTAAAGCAAAATTATATCGCAAAGCCTAGCCCAGACCCTAGAATGAATAACCCTAACCCTAACCCAACAAATAATTTCGCTATACACAGCCAACCCTAAAATTTATCAGTACGATCTCTCCTGATGTCAACCATTATTTAAAAATGGTCAATATTTCACTCGTTAGCTATAATTGGCAAGTGTAATTATCCGTGGGAAAGGTGTAGAAGAAAACACATGCATTGCAATGATCAAAGAGAGGCCATTATTTAAATATTTAAAACTTTTAAAGCAATAATTGATTTTTCCCCCATTCAATTTTACCCGGAAGTGTTACCCGGAAGTGCCCCCACCCCCCAAGGATTACTTCCCATTGACCGTAAAAAGTGTATTAAGATTATTATTTTTTTTGCATGGTCATTTCCCTTTGATTGCAAAAAGTTGTACATTCTTCCGTAAGTAAGATACCCTTTTAAAGATCAAATGCTGAAATTGTTGTCCATAAATCTATTGAATTTTGAATTAAAAATCTTTAAAACATTTTTTTGTATATGCAGTTAATTAATAGCTCACTTATTTGGCTACTTACTTGCAAACCAGGCAGATGAAGATCAGTATGAAAGAATCATTATTACAAGAGATACATGTACATTCTACGATGTGTATTAAACACAAACATTCGCAACGAACTTGTTCCATGAAATCCTGATTGTCAATCAATCGGTTGTTTATTTAGCCAGAGTTACAACCACCTTACAATTAGTTACTTCAGATCAAGAAGCAATGATTGGTCTCAATTAAAATGGATTAGTTACTATCACATTTTCAATTCTTACGTTAAAATATTGCTTCAAATAACTTTTTGAACGCATTATTTTTGTTTTACTATATATTATAATGCGTTAAAAAAGAAATTTGCCAAAAATTTTAACGTGTGAACTGAAAAAAAAAAGATTTGACGAAATTTCCGTTGAATCAATTTACTGTTGACGAAATTTCTTTCAGTCAAATTTCAGGTAATCGTTCCAGAGAGATTTACAGGAAATTTTTGATTCTCAGGTTTAAACTGAGCTTACAAATGTGTATGACTAAAACTTATAAAAAAAATAATAAAATTATTCTGTATTATTTTTAGTCAAACACATTCTACCGTTATTCTCTAATTCATTTTTGTTGTTGTTTTACTTTTAACGTGTTTAAATTAAAATTAATTGGTTGAATATCTATAGAACTTGACAGAAGAAATATTAAAAAAAAAAAGTTATGTCCTAAACAAATGGCGATTTTGGATTCATTGTTATCAAAGCATTTTAAAAATTTTCTTTCATGATTTCTAACTACGGGACAGCCCTTAAATTTTTATTAAGCAAGTTGAGCAAAATAAGAAAATAAAGTCATTGAACAAATTGTTATTGTGCTTAGAAATAAAAAGAATCCAGGTCAGAAAATGCTTTATGTGTCACAGCGATGTCTTGAGTTGATTGGACTCTAATAGTGGAGCTTGTCAGATTTTCTCAAAAAAACTGAAAGAGAAATGACAAAAACAGACATTAGGATTTTACAATGATTGGATTTATTGTAAATTATTCGTTACAACTTACAACGTGAACAAAATTCAGTTCCGAAAATTCTGTCAGGATCCAATGTTTTTTAAAATTTTATGATGATAAATAAGATAAACATTAAAAAAAAAACAAACATTATTTAAAATACAATGTATTGTGAACATATTTTTAAAACTAACATGGGATGGTATTGGGCCATCCTGTGTTGGGGATTACAATGGATGGTATTGGGCCATCCAGTGTTGGGGATTACAGTGAATGGTGCTGGGTCATCCATTTTTGGAGCTTACAGTGGATGGTGCAGGGTCATGCAGTGTTGGGGATTACAGTGGAGGGCGCTACGCCATCCAGTGTTAGAGCTCACAGTGGATGGTACAAGGCCATCCATTGTTGGAGCTTACTGTGGATGTTAAAGGGGTCATCTGTAAAAAAATTAACAAGAGATTATATTTAAAACTATCGAAAATAGGTGAACAACA